TCTCTTGTTAATAGGACTTTTCCACTCACTATGGGTCATGGGATAGCATTGTTTACTCTTGGTAAAAAATAGAATGGGGTACTGTAGTACCGCATATTATTATTGAGGTTGTGGCATCAGTAACTGAACGCATAAAAGCATTCAATATTTTTATAAACAATAACAGTGAAGCTGGGGAAACTGTCAATGAGTGCATTGGAGAAGTTGAGACTGGAGGTAAGGAAAATGTGGATAGGGGTTTCAGCTGTGTGGCTTGTGAGGTGTGATTGGAGGTGGGCAAATTGGCAGAGGCAAAAGTGATCCCAATCAGGGGCTGGATACGAGGTAGGAAGGCCAGCTGGCAATCTATATGAATGAAAAGTATTCAGCTTTAAGAAAGATCAATCCCAACATCATTCTGATTTTTCAGAATCGACAACATTTTGGCGGGGTCATGCAAAAGCGAACATTCCAATAAGATGAGTCCATAAATACTTGAACTCATCATCACCTGATTACATAAAGAGTTTCATGGCATTTGCGCATTCTCACTTAATGAATAATAACATAATCACTTACAATGTTACTGATACTATAAAACAACAACATGAAACACGAGACTCAAAAAGCAGGAATGTAAAGCAGCACTATATAGTTTTGCCCTGCGCTTTTTTAAAAAAAAAATTTAAGCTTAATCCTTTTTGGATTTTTAATTTACAATAGTTACGGCCTAGTGCCTCACTAGGTAGTGCCATTTATCTACTGAGTCATCGGTAGCTACAGTTCAAAGATCTATTTTATGACCTGCTGAATTTGTTTTGTAAGCTACAAGGACACATCCTTCAAGAACTTCATTAAAAGCAAGAAGATTCAGGCATTATAATGCATTTGCAGCAATTTACAAGAACTCTAGTCAATAAAACATTTTCACAGAACACTAAATTTTTAGTGCATTTTCTACCAAAATATTTGCATTTCCCACTGTATATAAAATATTTTATAAGAGCGAGTTCTGTCCACTTAAATTTTACTAATTCTACTTTTCTAGATTTCAAACAGCAATTTAAGAGGATCTTCCCCCTCATCCTTTCTTCGGAAGTATTTAACTTTGGAGCAGTATGACAATAAGCTTTTGGAAGGTCCAATCTGCTGCAAATTCTTTAAATTAAGCATTAAGCCAGTCATTTTCAGTAGGTGAACAGTACTGCCTATATGGACTGAATATCCACCCACCCAAAACAAATCGAAGCCAGCACAGCTCACAGATCAACACTGCTACAATCAAAAGGTGCACAGCAGACAATACTAACCACTAATTGGTCCTAAAATTCCCTAGCCATAGGTGTAGGGATTAATAGGCAACAAAAAATAAAGTTTTTCTTTTACTCATATCAAAATTCTGCAGGGTCCAAAGGAAATACTCTATCAAGAACATTCACAAATATGTTATTTTGAATATGGAAACCGTCTGGAGTATTACTCCCCATACATCATATTATGTAAACTCAATACAATCTTACAGCAAGATTTCTTATATATTGCAGATTTTACAAAATAAGATTTCCTCTACCCCAGAAAAGCAGTGTTTTCAAATACCCTAAAACAAGGAATTATCCAACAGAGTTGGGGAGTGGTCAGAACTTGTTCCAAGTAAATAACCGGTGATGCTGGATTATGATTTCTTGGGTCACTTTATAATCAGAAGTAAATCAACTGAAAATAAAACTAAGCTCATAATTGAAGGAGGTGTACTAAATGATTAGTAAAAAAGCAAAGCTTGCTCTCTCTGGATAAACAACCTACATAAATCCTTGATAAAATATTGTTAAGGATATTAATTAATCCTATTTTCCTGTGTAAATTTTAATCATCATTGCCCATGTGAAAAAAGACCCGATCATTGTAAAACAAAATAGAACAATAATTTTGCTGTTACACCGTAAGGAGTTCAACAACCGGGTTCTATTGGTAGATTGAAGTGCTATGCCTAAGGGTGTTAACGCAGTTTTCTAGGCTTTGACGTCTGGCACCAAAGCCTCAATAGACCCAATGAAAATGGCAGCCGACATAGAAAGCAAGATGAGAGCTTGGGGAAGAGGGGGGAAAAAAAAATCAGGCTAGAGAGAAAAAAAATAGGCCTAAAGGCAACAGAAAAGAAAGCACGTAAATCAAGCCTCTATGATCTAAATCTTTTTAAACACTCTTACAATTCAGAAATCTATCATACAGATACTAATAAAATATGAATCAGCTTTTCCACAATTGTCAAAACTGGCAAATGAGCAAATTATACTATAGTATTCGTCCTTCAAAATATTGTTACTGAAACACACTATTCCTAAGAATAATCACTATTAAGTGCAAATAAATTAAAAGAGCATTTTCTGGTAATATTATTGTTAACAGGGCTTAGGGTTTTAAATAAAAAGACCTGCTTAAGAACATAATCCTAACAAATGTACAGACTAAAATACTGTACAAATCAATTCATAATTAATGCTACTCAAAACCTAACTACATTTTTGGTAACAGGCAAGAAACCCAAATCTCAGCAATATAATGTTACAGAATGCTATTTCGAGATAGATACAGGATAGCTTTTATGTACCCACAAGCTGTGCCAGAGCAGTGTGACGCACATTTACCAACATTCACTATATTCTGATTTCAACGTTTTTTGGTGGGGGAGGAGGGAGTTTAAAAAAAAGTCGAAAGACAAATCATCACAGGAGAAGAAAATCACTTTCTCACTGGAGTAAGAAAGAGAAGGTAGGAGAAAAAGTTAACACACCTTTCAATTACAATTTAGCATATCTAGAGATCGGAAAGATCATCTGATCACCTTACATGGAGAATATATCCATACAAGGTGAGACAAAATCATATACAGTGTTTAATAAAAACAAATATTTAACCCCATACCATATAAAATCACACAAACAACTTAAAAAGACCGACAGCTGATGCAGACCATGAGTTACAATATTCTGCACTGGTACAAAATGATCTGCAATTCACTATTGTTAAAATTATTGGTATTCTGTAGATGTACAGCTCCTGGCAGAACTGCAAACGCACCCTTTGATTAATTCTGCAGAGCAGCTAGTAATGTCGATCATTTGCACATATAAATGATCAATCCTGTGGTCAATGAAATAAAATGGGTCAACCCAGATGGTCACAGCACAACTCCTCCCCCCACCGTTTCCAGTCTCTTTTCCTTCCTTAAAGAAAATCTTTCCTTTAATTAAACACAGTATAACACAACACTGGAAGAGAAACAGGCAGCAATTTACATCAACAAACATTAAAAGGTTACATTTCACAAAAGGCCCAGATTTCCACAATGGATGTTTGCACAAAAGCATCTGTCAACAATTTTTGCCAATTTCTTTTTCTTCTTGGACGTCTAATGAAATGATGTGGGGAAAGGAAAGGGGAGCAAAAAGAAAGTTAAAGAATATTTGATTCGATTCTAATTTAAACTTAAACGAAACCACATTTTTTTGGGGGGGGAAAAAAAAAGAGAGAAAAAACACACACACACACACCCAATGGTCACGAAAACGGTAAGCAGAGCAGAGAGGGAGAAAAGTTCGCTACACTTGGGTGCAATCAACCCCCCAAAACAAGCGGAGTGCACATTTTTTTTAAAAAAAATATAGCACCGACCGGTTCGTCTGAATTAATTGCGTGTCTCCCGGAGCTGCCATTGCAGCCATCTCATCTCTCTGGGCTCTTAATCAGCGTTTTATCTTTCAGGGTAACCCAGCGACCCAGCTCTGTCGCTACCAGCGAGAGGGAGGAAGAGGGACTGTCTCGTCTCCTCCAGCACACGGCATTCTGGGAGATGTAGTCTCCTCGCCCCGCCTCCCCCCACGTGACGCACGGGGGACGCTCGGCCCCGCAGACTACGGGTCCCGAGAGGCACCACGAGAGAAAGCGGGCGCCTGCGCGCTGGCTCCTTTCCGCCGAGCCGAGTGTTTACCAGCGTTGTTGATTCACTGAAGCCGCTTCGCTTCAGCTTAACCTGAGCACAAACCTCACCGGACCCGCCTCCTCCTCCCCCCACCCACCGAGTCTGTCACTGCCGCGGCCCATTGGTCGCTCAGGCGCCCCCCCCCCCACCCGAGTCCTGGAGGAGCCGCTCGGCGCCCGTTCGTTAAGGAAGGGAGAGGGGGCTGCCTTGCGCGGAGCTCGTGTTATGTCCATCACGTTAGCTCGAGCTGCCCCGACCCAGCTCGTTAAATGTTTATTTTTTATTTTTTTTACACACACACACAAAAACGTCGAATAAAATATATAAATATACACGTGAGGAGCAGCCCCCCCCACCCCACCAACCCCGACAGGCGAAGGGCGAGCGGCTGCGGCTGCAAACAGCCCGTCAAACCATAAACACTCTCTCTCTCTCTCTCTGGCACCCACCAGATTTTCAAACTAAATGTCTCCCACACTCCTACTCCACCTCCTCAACCGCACTCACACACACTCCTCAACCGCACTCACACACACACACACACTCACACACACTCACACGCACTCACACGCGTGCTGTAAAGCGGTCTCGGGGGTAGGCACAGGAGGCTGCCCCGAGTGTCCCGCTCGGTTTGCGGCCTGTGCTGTCTCTCCCCCCCATTCCCGGGCTGAGCCTCCCGCTGGCCTGGCGGGGAGACCCGAGGGCGGTTGAGGATGGGACTGGGGGGGGGAGGAAGGGACTGGAGGCGGGTGAGCAGGAGGAGGGAGGGGGGGGGTGAGGAGGAGGGGGGACTGAACCACAAACGCCGAGAAACTTCGCTCACCCAGAGCCCCGGGACTGGAGCCGGAGCCCCTCCTCTCGCCTCGCAACAACTGCCGCTGCTCCACCACCACACCGCCGCCACCAACAACAACAACAACAACAACCACCACCACAGCCACCGCCACTTTTTTTAAAAAAAACTGATTTAGTTTCACTTACAAAAAAAAACAAGAGCCGCGGAAAGACAAACCGCGGGGGACTGACTGACTGACTGACTCACCGCGGGGATGATGATGATGATGGTGGGGGAGCGGGAGGGGGGGGTCACCAGGAGCTGCGAGGCGCCAGCCTGACCTTCGCCTCCGAAGACGGGCTCTCGCTGCCGGCCGCCATGTTGCTCTGCTCCCCGTGTATTTAAATGGAAACCGCCCACTAGTCAATCAGTCAGTCAGTCAGTCAGTCGGGGGGGGGGGGGGGGAAGGGGGGGGGTGGGTTGTCAATCAGCCGCTACAATAACACCCCAACCAGGAGCAAAGGCAAACACAAACAGCCACACACACACTCACTCACAACACACACACAGTACTGTGGCCAACAGCCCTCCCTCCCCCCTCCCACCCCCTCTCACTCCTGGCTGTTGCCGCTGCCGTTGATTATTATTATTATTATTATTATCTGTCGTTATGATGTACGGTTCACGAACACTAATAACCACAGATGTTCCGCTGGTCGGGTTGGGTTGGGTCGGGTCGGGGTCGGGAAGGACGAGGTCGCTTTGGTCGAAGTTGTTTTGGTCAATGTCTGTGCCACCGCCGCACAGCACAGGATCGTGTGTAAATACTGTGATAAAGCCAAAGTACTCTCTCTCTCTCTCTCTCTCGGTGTGTCTCTGCCCTACTGTACACTGCAGCTGAAAGCTTCCCTGCTCTCCCCCCCTCACCCCCTCCCCAACACCTCCCCCCCCCTCACCCCCTCCCCAACACCTCCACCCCCCACCCCCTCCCCAACACCTCCACCCCACCACCCCCTCCCCAACACCTCCACCCCACCACCCCCTCCCCAACCCCCTCCCCCTCCACCCCACCACCTCCTCCCCAACCCCTCCCCCTCCACCCCCCACCCCCTCCCCAACACCTCCACCCCCCACCCCTCCACCCCCTCCCCAACACCTCCACCCCTCACCCCCTCCCCAACACCTCCCCCCTCACCCCCTCCCCAACACCTCCACCCCCCCCACCCCTCCCGAACACCTCCACCCCCACCCCTTCCTCTCGGAAATTGCTGAGCCACATATTTCTCTTAAATTTACTACGCGAGCAACCAGGAAAAGAAAGCCACACCACCATCACCATCGTCGTCATCGTCATCCTTATAATTATTATTATCTTTACACATTGTCAGGGAAATGCTGGGCAAAGCCCTCCCTCCCCCACCGACCCCATATAAAAATAATAAAACACACCACACACACAAGAGATCTATTATCTCTTACCTCTCTCTTTTATATATTAAAAAAAATTTCTCAAGAAGCCGTGGCGATCGGGTGGGGGGGGGGAGAGGGGGGAGGAACCAGAGTTTCTTTTCTGGGGGAGGAAGCGAACACGTTGACTTGCACACGAACCAAAACACTGGCACCGACTGACCGTGACTGTGACGCTGTGACCGACCGACCGACCGACTGGTGAAACCCTCACAGCGATCAATCGCCCCCGAGTTACAGGTTTGAGAGACGTCCGCTGGACGGAGGCCGCCGTGGGCTGATCCCATCACCCGGAGGAATCAGTCACACACACACACACACACACACGTCTGCAGGGGACACACAGGCATCTCCGCTCCTGCTCTGCCTGTACTGTTGGGACACTGTAGCACAGGCACATGCGGGACCATACTTCACTTGTCACCGCGCAGCAACGCGGTGGGTGGGTGGGGGGGTGGGGGGGGTTCGTTCGCATCGTATGTGCCATCTGAGTCGGAAATAACAAAACCCCGTCAATATTTGCAGAACTGAAATGATAATGCAGGAACAGTCAGAATCGAGCTTTGCAAAAAAAAACCTTTTGAAAAAAAAATCAGACTGGGATTAGCCTCCATCCACGCAAGACCGTGCCATGCTTTTCATGCTATTTTTTAATTAACTCGTCGGTTGTTTGCGGGTCGGTGGGGGGGTGGGGTGGGGGGGTGGGGGTTGGGGGGATGCAAATTGGGAGATGTATTCATTTTGATCAACTGGGTCAGTCTGACATGTGTGGCAACCTCTTTCAGTGCATGTGACTCCAGCCAACAGTTCTCTTCATATTGTATTTGCATTTGATATAGCTCCTTATCACAGCAAAGTCTGAAATTACTCTGCACAATCAATTACTTTTCAAATCCAGTGATTATGTCATCTACAACTGCAACATCCCACCACAGCAATGAGATGGATGACCAATTAATCTTCTTTTTGTGAATTTAGTTGAGGGAGGGATGCTGGACTGAACATGAGAAATTAGATTTTAAACCAACACAAATGGCGGATGGGATTTCAATTTCGTGTTTCGTCTGAAGGACAGTACCTGGAATAGATAGCATTCCTCAACACTAGACTGGATTTGCCAGTTCATCTGCCAAAAGGGACACGCCTTGTTTATCTATGCATGTTGGATACAAACACATGCATTGGAAACTCTGAGACGCTGTCTGGCGTGAAGGGCACAATATAAATGTAAGTTGTTGTATGTGTTGGCACGCTGCTAAAATATAACAAGCAAAAAACTACTAAGCTTGTCAATTCAAAGCACGAGTAACCTTCTGACTGTTGGCCAACTGGGAATACACAACTAGTGTGCATTGGGCGTATGTTTCTAGCGTTGTCACAAACTGCATTCTGCCTCAGTGAGGCATGTTACCACAACTGATCCCAGCGAGACTCCATTTACTTTCTGCCAAAAAAGAGACAAATTGCAGCTCAACTGAATTGGACTGCAGGATTACTGTAGAATATGAAACTGTATTGTATTTGAAATTTGTACCATGCTACTTTGATTGGTTGAAATGGGCACAAATTGATAAAGTTGCAACATGATTGCCTGCCTTTGCCCAGTCAGCTACTGTATTTGTTTGTTGCTATAAATGGGGAGCTCCCAGGACAGCTGGAACATGCCAGGAAGAAGAATGAGAAACAGGGCTCTGACAGGGGAAAATTACAGCCCAGCAAATGAAGATATGAGGGACAGAACTGAAAAAGAGAGGAGAGGGAGCGGCCACAGCAGCTTGAGGGACCTTGGGGATGGAGGGGTAGTGGAAGAGGGTGAGCCTATGCAGCATAAGTAACTGGAGATAGCTCCTAATGAAGGAATGGACCATGAGTGAGGTTGAGAGCTTGAGAAGAGTGACTGAGGGGCAAAAGGAGTGAAAGAAGTGTATGTGTGTAAGATTGAAATGGACAATGTGGTGGAGAAAGGAAGAGGGGACAGCAATAACAACAACAAGATTACATTTGTATAGCACCTTATAATGTCATCGAGATGTCTCAAAGTGCTTCACACGATATACTGTAAAGTTATGTGGCTGTATGTATTTTGTGGGCAATGGAAAACAGTTCTAAAGCAGCCCACCAGTATCCACTGAACAATAGGTTGATGATAACCCATATCCATTGAACAATGGTTTAACAATGATACACTGTACCATTTGGTTATTTGACTATGAAGGTCATCTGATAACTAAATCATGGAGGACATCATTGCCAACCCCTCACCTGATGTCTACATACAACAACAACAATAACAAGATTCCATACACAATCACTTTCAGGGAAGAATGGCTACTTGGAGAGACTCACAAGGGTGGTCAGTGCTCGTGAAACCCTATTCAGGAGAGGGGAGAAAGTTTAGAAGGTGGAAAAAAAAGCAGTTCGGAGAAAAGTCTGGTGGCAGAGCGGTCATGAAAAGCTTACTGTGTGAGAAATCATGGGTGATAATTTGTGTCCTACTCCTCTTCAGCATAACACGTGCTGGTAATTTAAAATTAGGTCAGTGGTTGAATAGAGCTCTTTCAAAAGAACATTTGAGGTTTGAAGCACTGAAATACATGCAGACTGTCAACGACCACTCATTTGCAGTGAGACTGATTCGTTTTGATTTTAAAAAGCAGCCTAATTTTTAGATTGTTCCTTTAGTTTGTTGATAAAGTGACAAAGAGATCTATCCCCTGTGTTGCACCTTGACTAAGCCATGCAAACCAGAAGTTTGCAGGTTCGATCTGATCTTGTCGATTGGAGCTGAGTTCTGTACAATTGATCATTGTGCTACTGACTTAGCTGGGAAGGGGTAGAAAATCAGACAGTGATTATCCAGAGCCCCCTGCTGGATAGTGCACGGGTGTGTGTGGATGTCAGCGACCCAAATATCTCATGATAAGCTTCAGACCATTGTGCTGAAATTTAAGACGGTGCAAAATTTTGGGAAACAGTCTTAAATCTTGATTTGGAAGGCAATGTTTCTAACATCCCAGAAGAACTTCCAATTTGAGACTGAATTTAAGACTGTCTTTCAAAGTTCTGCACAATCTTAAATTTTAATAATAATATAATCCTTGCATTTGACAAAACGGATTATCACATCTTCGAGACATCAAAGCTCTTCGCAGAATATACTGTAAAGTGAATTGACTGTATATTTTGTGGCCAAAACACGGCAGCCAATTGCTCACAGCAGTGTATGGTCTTAAGGCTAAGAATATGAAGAGAGGTACACATCTAATAAGCATAGAGTCGAGTTCAGTTGTGAATCCCGATTGAAATAGATTGTTGACATCTGAGTAGAATCACAAATCGAGAATGGACACTTGGGGACGTTTTAGGAGGGAATAGAGAGATCATTACAATTATCTACATTAACCTGGGTGCAAAAGGAAACATTAACTAGGATTTGAGTACTTCATTGCCATCCTATGACTGTTGCTGAAAGGTGTGCAAGCATGGGTTTTTGGAGCCTCCATTGAGGAGTCATTTTCAATAATAGCTGTACTTACTTCATACCTTAAGGGGCCAATTTAGCTTTGTAACAGCAATGTTTACTAATCCAGTTGTGTAGAGTGTGAAGGATTTGCAGACAATGGAGCAAAGCTAAAATCTTAGGCAGATATTTTGAAATTTAACTCAAACATTTTTATATAAGTCATGTTATTCCTTTTCATTTAATTGGAAACCAACTTCAATACTGTATCGTGTTTTTATATTTTCAGCATGTTTATTGTGCAGTTTCATTTCAGTTTCACATAATCAAAACTATATTATAACATGAACCTCTCCTTGTATGATAACATTCTAGTATTGATGAAGCTGGACATGATGACCTGTGGAGAATTGTGCCCTAGTAACAATGCACAGGGTGTCAACAAACACTAGTGTGAGTTGAAGGTTCGCATTACCAATACAGATAGTGATTTTCTT